GTGGGCAGGGACACCTGGGGATGGATAACAGGCCCTCGTGGTGGGGAGGCAGACAGATGGCCCGCGGGTCCACAGGTGCCTTTGCCTGGTGCCTGCACAGCCCATGTCTGTGCCCCTTGCAGTGTGACCTGAGAGGACTGTGGAGGAACGAGCAGGAGTCGCTGATGGAGATCTCAGCACTGCGGGATGACGGTGGCTTCCAGGGCAAATACCTGACCCGAGTGAGCCTGTCCGGCGGCTGCATCCGCGTGTCCCCCCTCAGAGGCGCCCAGCAGGACCTCAGCGAGGCAGCCTGGCCCACGTTTGGCTTCACCGTGCGCTGGGAGAAGTTCTCCAGTAGGTGCTGGGCAGTGTGGGCATGGGCACGGGACAGGGAAGAGCATGGGAGAGCCAGATCCGCTTTGTGCAAAACACTCTCATGTGTCTGAGCAAAGGGAAGTGATCAGGAGATGGGGAGACTGAGGGGGAATCACTACACGGTGGGTGGGATGGCTGCAGCAGCACCTGGAGCAGGGTGGCTGGAGCACCCTGGCATCAGCCCGTGCAGCCCATGGGGTCTGTAAGGTGCTCTCAGTGGTCCTGGGCATGAAGCGCTCCCTGAGTCTGGGCACTGTCCCCCTCCTCCTGCTCGTTTCCCGCAGATGCCACGGCTGTCTTTGTGGGGCAGTGCTTCGTGGACACGGGTGGGAAGGAGGTCCTGGCCACCACCTGGCTGCTGCGCGAGCCCGTGGGCTCTTTGGAGGATGACTGGAGAGCCACAAGGTAGGAGCGTGTCCCTGCTCGGGCAGCCCCTCAGCCTGGCTCCCGCCAGCGGCCACAGCTCTCTGCCTCCTTGCAGGGTGGGCAGAAATGTCTTCACGCGCAAGCGCAGCCCCACAGGGAAGACCCTCCAGAGCTGGGCTCCCTCCTGCGAGGACAGCCCGTCGCCCGTGCCTTGAAGGTGCCTCCACCTGCAGTCGGGACCCACCAGGCCCGACATTGCCTCCCCGGGATGCCCAGGCTCCACCTCCGCTGTGTCGCATCCCTGCAAGGGGCAGGCACGACCCCGACGGTGCCTGCGCAGGACCCCATCCAGATGCTGCACGGGACCCCAGCTGGATGCTCAGAGTGTGCACCAGCTGGGTCCTCCTGCAGCCCTCATGGTTTCCGTGCATCAGAACAAAAACGAGCCTCCCCTGCCCAAAATATTACCTCATGCACAGATATTTTTATTATATCTTGTTTTAAAAAATTGCCTTCATTCGCCCTGATGCTGCTTCCCTCTCTGCAGCCAACGGGTGCCCCACAGAGGCAAGGGCTAAGGGCTATTTCTGGCCAGCACTACCCATCTCCAGGGGCATTGGGGCTGCTCCCCACATCCAGCTCCCTGCGCACATTCCCCTCCTTATCCTAATCCCAATTTGCCCCTGCTCCTCGGCTGCCTGTTGGTGGCAGGGAGACCTCCTGCATCCCAGGTCAAGCTGCCATCTTTGCAGCGAGCAGGCGAGCCCTCTGTATCCCTCCCTGCCAGGCATTTTTGCAGCCCCGGGATTATCCATGTACCCTATACAAGTGAGCCCAGAGCTGCCCTGGGTGCCGCTTGCAGGGCCACGTGTGCAAACTGTGTCCCATCACCTCTAGCCACCAGCAATGCCCATCCCACGCGGTCTCACAGCAAAGGTGACGGTGACGGTGGGTGGGAGACGTACTGCTGCCTGTTGTAACCACGAATTTGGATTCACCCAGGATGGCAGCCAAGTTTAGTCAGCTATTTTCAAGTCAGGTTTTTGACAGGTTTATCTCAGCCTCTTCCGTAGTGACATGACGAATATAACCCCAGCACAGGGTGATTAAATGTGCAAGCAGAACACGCTGTCCAGTCTGGCGGGTGAGAGCCACCAAGGGCTTAGAAACACAATCTAAGCCGGTACCCTCCATGGGTCAGCAACGCTGTTGGATGCGGGGGCATTTCCAGGCCAGCTAGCACTTCGGATGAAGCAAAGTGTCCCTGCCTATATGCAAACCCTCAGCGCAGCAGCATCCTGACAGGACCATGCATAGCCCACAGGGCGACAGCAAAATATCCCCCATGTTGGTGCAGGAGAAGAGGGAAGGGCGGATTTCTTGGGAGCTTGATCCTAGGAAAAGCCTTTCGGAAATGCATAAAAGGCAACAAAAAATAGTGATGGGGTAAGAAGAGAGAGAGGATCCTGTCCCAGGGATGAGGCACCAAGCAGTGCCCAGTGCCTGGGATGCACCGGGGCTCCTGGCTGGCGCTTGGCAGTGCCAGCGGCTCTGCCAGAGGCAGCCTTCCCGCTGGAAGGGAATCCTCCTTGTTCGCAGCATCTACCAGGGAGCTTCCAGCCCAGGGAGCCAGGTGTTTAGGCACACACATGTTTAGGCAACAGCACCCACCTTAATGTTCACGTGCTGCAGTCCCGCGCCTGCTCTGCCCACCGCAGTGCTCAGGGACACAGCCCAGAAACTGGGAAATGGCCCCCTGCTGGGCATGCTTTGCCTCCTGTGGATGCTGCACCCCATCACCTCAGGCAAGGCTGCAGCCAAATATAGTCAGCTATTTTCAAGCAAGGACTTTGGCAGGTTTATGTCCAAAGCCTCTTCCTCAGCAACAGGACAAACACAACCCCAGCGGGTGTAGGGGTGAATATTTGCACTCAGGATACGCTGTCCAATTGCGGCGGGAAAAAAAACCAGGCGACCAAAGCACGGGGCATACAAGGGATCAAGCCAGCAAGGACTCCCAGCCCAAAAGTTTCAGGAAACGAGTTTCCAATCAAGGAAGCTGTTTTTTTTTCCAGGTTGCTATTAGGGTGGAGCCTTAAAAACAGAGAGGAAAACAAAGATGGCAACAGAACAGAGCAATCAGGAGCAATTTCTGCATGCTGCAGAGCATGGCAGAAGGAGGGCAAGGAGGGCAGAGCAGGCAGGGCAGGGAGGCAAGTGAGGATTCAACCCCCATAACTCCCAGCCACAGAGCCCCATCCCCATCCCTGGCATCCTGGGAGCCTCCCTGGGAGCAGGGCTGCTCTGGGGTGGCCAGGCTGCTCTATGTATAGCGGCCCCGCGGAGCTGGCTGGGTCACGCAGACCTGCTGGCCTCGCGTTCCCGGGCGCCCTGCCACGCACCGTGCGACCTGGGGGCTCCAGTTACGGCCACGGGGCTATAAAGGGGCCATGGCAAAGGTGGTCGCAGGAGTTCCATGGCCATGGGGAGCGCTGCGATCACTGTGCTCCTGCTCCTGGCCCTGGTGCCGTGCGCCAGCCTGGCCACCAGGAAGGTATTGGGACAGCGGGAAGTCACAGACTGGCCAGGAGGGAGGGGACAGTCTCACTCTCACCAGCGGGAATTGCCTTGGGGACCTCTGCACTGAGCAGCTCTGGTGGCAAAAACCACTTGCCCCGGGGGGCTGCCGGGAAGCTCGCGGTGCCCATGGTGCCGGTACTGCGCGTGGCAGCACGGAGTCCCCAGCCCATCCCTCGCCTCGCAGTGCGTCCTGTCCGGCTCGTGGCGGAGCGACAACGGCGGCCGCATGGTGGTGTCCGTGCTGGAGCCCGACGGCAGCTTCCTGGGCTCCTACCTGCCGGGGGCGGCCGCCGGGGCCTAACAGCAGCTGGCA